TTGCTTTTATTTGTCTTTCAAATTTAATAATAATATAAACATATCACAGGAACTAATGTATATATAGCAAATACATAATGTTTTATATAAATAAACTGCCTTTCGTAATTCTACAAATATTTCATTTGAATCATTTAAAAATTATGCATGGTGAGAGGAATTTTGTTAGAAGTTAATAAAATCTACACAGTTTCTATCTTTAACATCAAAAAGATTTCTACATACTGCAGTGTAAATGTAATTTTATTTGTATCTGTTTGAAATGTGCAGTAAAACTAATTTAGTGATGAGCCAATCTTCTTTATTAACAACCTAATCTAGCTAACTATAATTGCTTCTTTTGCCTGAAAAATTACCATATTATACATTTAGTTACAAAAATCATGTGATGTAGTTAACCTTTTTGCATAAATGAAGTGCAACTTGTACTTATTATGATAAATGTCTAGTAAGTTATTCCAGAGAAACAGGCTATTCTTTGCTTAGATTTGTATTCAAAACAAGAAAATGACTTGTTGGCTGTATAATATATGATAGAAACTTCAGTGTGTACTTTAGGTCAAGGTAGACTAAAGTGCTTTCATTATGGTATACTGGAGCAGAAGCATGCAGGTCTAAAAACAGTAATCCAATTGTCAGCTAGACCCATTGAAGAACACAGCATTTTTTCAGAGCTTTTATTGTATTCATATGCTGCTAGCATGAGATCAGAATGGTAAACATGAACTACACTACTGCAGAACTCTTGCATAAAGTTAGGCTGTTGATCATCCTGTACAACAGGCTGAATGCATAATCTTAGTTATTTTTTTAAGCATCTCAGTAGCCTAGTGGTTAAAGCATTCATTTCAAGATCTGAAGATCATCGGATTAAATTCGGAGCATCCATACTACCTTTATCTGTGCAATACCACATTTGCTACAAAAAGGACTCCATGTGTTTAGTGTGAAGGGAGAAGAGTCTAGGCTATTAGGCAGTGTTATTATTCCTCTAGTATGCATATTTACCTTTATTTACCCAGTCCCCCTCCCCTGGTGCTTGCAGTATCTTTTACCATATTTAATCTGAGTACTTGAAGCAGAATAAAAGTAATTCTATTAGCACATTTAACTGATATTGACAACTTATTTTTGTTACATCAACACAAAAAACTTTACCTGCTTTTCTCCAGTTGCAGCTCTAAATCTAATGAATGTACAAATATTATATTTGGAACTGACAGCTTGATCTGGAGGATAATATCATTCAGTTTACTCAGATGATTTCCCATTATATGTAGTTATTTTTTAATGAATTTTATTATTCAAGCCCAAAAGTTTAGGGTCACGAGAATGAGATCAAGAAATGTGCTGTAGTTTTTCTAGAAGTTATGGGATAGGTTCTCTCATCTTATACACTTTTCTTTGGAATTGCTAACTGTTACTAGGAAAGCCTAGAAGAAAGTAGATGTAAATACCAATTATAGTGTAATTAGTTACACAGTTTAAGCTCATGCCTAAAAATTGCATGAAAAGCACACTTACGACAGCTACAGCCTCTTCTCCCATTACCTCCTGTGCTGACAGGGTTGTATGAAAGGCTACAATGGTCATGGTGTAGACAACAGTCACAAGAATGCAGGAAATGAAGATAGCCTTAGGCAGGTTCCTTGTCAAACAAACATTAAATAATTAATTCATATTGTATTTTGAAAACATTATTAATATGTAAGGCTAGCTACAGGCAGCATTTATATTTGTAAACATTTTGTTTATATATATGTATATATAAATTACTTACAATGTAAAATATAAAGAATTTGAAACACTTTTTCTGATAAAATTTCAACTTGAAAGATGGATGACCTACGAACTACAAAATGTCACTGTAATTGGTTTTAATTATGTGTAAATTTGTAGTATTTTAAATAAATTTCAATTCACATTAGTAGTAAAAACATTTCAACTTCATAAAATTAATCAAATTTCTGGGCATGCTTACAGATCTAATGTACAAAACAGTTCTAGTTAAAGATAACATGAAACATATCTTGGTGAAAAATAAAAATATTATCCGTGACAGTTAGTGTTTAGCCAATGGTTCTTAAATTACTTCAAAATTCACAGAAAAATCTTTCCAAGCTATGTGTATAGGTTGAATCATGTTGTAAATTTTATTCACTCTGAAAACTTGTAACTTCTATGTATATAAACAAGAACAAATATATATATGTATTTGTTCTTGTCTACTTATCACACTTATATTGATAGCTCGAGACATGTCTGTTAGTCAGTTTACACTCTCAATGCCTTATTTTGGTCCCTTCTCATACATTCTCCAGTATGTAAATTAATCTATCTGTGCAATCATGTTCATCATCCTCATTGGTTGCTAAGATAAAACATTAGCAATTTCATCACTATTCTTATTATAAGTAACATGCACTCAATTTTCAATAGTTATTTTAAGCTTTTTCAAACCAACTCGACCAGAAAACATCAGCATAACATTTTCATTTTTTAAACTATAGTATTATGGTATAAGCAAGCATGGAAAGAATCTGGACAAACTGTCAAATAAAACAAACGACACATGAACTTTTATCAGCTCTTCCTTACATTTTAAGTTTGGAACTAGTTCACAATGCATCTTAAATATTATAGGCACAGCCAAAGTATTTTTGAAAAATATACACTTTTAATTACACAAGTAAAGAAAAAAACTTTACAAAAAAGGAAGTAAATGTAGGAGTGGATAATACCACTATCTTTTGTCTCCCACTACTTACTGCCCAAGAGGACTTTCATATAATACTAGAACTCTTCAATTTAATTCGATGATAAATCTGAAATGCTATCTTTACCCTCCTCCGATATTGAATTTAAATGGATCAACAGATTAAGACGAACGGAAAAAAAACATCTGCAATTTATGTAATCTATATTACAACTGTAATGGATAAATATGAAATGCATAATATATAGTACCATTAAGGGTTTTGATACCTTTGATTCAGAAGAATAGAATAATTACAATATAAACATTTTATAAATAATTAGCAAAGTATATCAACAAATAATCTTTTAAAAAAAGTTAACATTATATAAGTAATGTAATTATTTCATATAATTTTCCCATACATCCTAGTTTCATATCAGTACTTGTATAGTGTTCGTTTAGTTTTAAATTATTTTTTTAATAACTTTAATGAGGAGCAAGTTAAAAGTATGTCTTATTCTTTACAGCTTCAGAATAGTGATTTAATCTTCCAAAACATTAATAGCATTAAAAACTACTCAGCTGACATGAAAAAATCCTGATTTCCGTTGCATTTTTAATAACTCTAATTTTCAATTTAATTCATAAATATATAATAATACACATATTTTCTGTAAAAATTTGATTATTTTTGTGAGATTTCTCAACTGTTTAGTAAATAGGTTGTTCTAAAAAATAGGTCTGGATTTGTACATTTTAACAATCCTTATATTTATGGATTATATATAAGTAATAGATAAAAAAACTAAAAATAGTTACTTTTGTTTTATTTTCATACATCTGAATCTTCTAGGCATTCAAAGTGTTTAGGTTGGAAAATTGTATTTACTAAGCTAATTTACTTCCTTATTATTCATTAAAAAAGTGAGTGGGTATCTTTAGGTAATTAAACATAAGGTGACTAAAAATACAGTTTTAAGCTGTATAAATGTAACAAGGTTTAAATTCATATTATTTCTGTATAGTTACTGATTAACTATCAAAATGACTGATTACCTGTGAGGATCTTTCAATTCTTCAATGACAAAGTTAAGGTAGTTCCTGGTATAAAAAGAAAGATTTTATACAATTACAATAAATATTAGAATAAAAAGCAAAGGAAAAGGATACAAGACTTCACTTATAGGTTTCAGTAGCATTATGACTTTTAAAAACTGCCATCACAGGATTAGGCTAGGTGAGAATGTTTAAATTGCAAAAAAAATCGAAACTTTACCAGTAGAATAGACTTTGTATATCACAGACAAAAAAGGTAAATATAAAAGATAAAATTGAGTCACAGCTTCATGATGTTTCAAGATAGAAAATTTTCAATAATGGTGGCCAAACAACTTTTATATCACCTTCACTAGGTGAGAAAATGACCCCTCTCAATTTCTTAAATAATATCACAGAAATGTTACTTTATGGTATGTATACCGATTGTATTCAATATTCAGTATTTATTCTAAACACGTTACCTATGTCATCATTATAATGCAGGCGAAAAATTATTTCTGACACAAGTAATGATAAAAATAAGATAAAATATAATTAAAATTTAAAACAATAAGTTTAAATAACCAATATTACCTACAAGTTGACCAATTTATTCATCTCTTGCAGCAAACCTGTCAATGCAGGGAACACTTCATATTATGAAAAAGTTGAAAATTTTCTTGGATAGTTATCATAGGGGAAATCTTGCTCTAAAGATTTTATCTCTATAGTTGTGGGGGGATGAGTTTTTTCACTGGATCAAAAAATGGTTGGATTAAAGAAGGCAGAAGTTTGTTATGAATGGAGTTCAGTCAAACTGGATTAAGGTCACAATTAAGTGGAGTAACTCGTATCACATCTGTGTTAAGAACTGCTCTTTTTGATTTTCATCAATGACATAAATGAAGAAATGGCTAATAATTACTTACATTTTTCTAATTATATTGAGATCTTGGGTGTTGCTGGCTGTGATGAGGATGCTACTGCTTTATAAAAAGTCGTAGACTAACTGGCGAGATGGGCAAATAAATTAATGGCTATTAATTATAATTAGTGAAAGGTAATGTATGTGGGTTATCATAATCTATAAGTATAACTTTGATAGGATTAATTTTGACAGCGTTATGGAAGAAAAAGGATCTTGATAGTTTGGTTTATCAGTCTTTTAAGCCACCTAACAAGTGTGCTGTTGTTAGTGGTAGGGTAAATAGAAGTTTACGTTGTACTTATAAAGGAATATTGAATATAAGTTCAATCTAAATAGGTTACAATTACATTGTATAGGTCAGTGGTTAAGTCTCATAAAGAGAATTGTGTTTATTCTTGGGCTCCTTACCTTAAGAAGGGCATTGAATTGTTGTAAAAGGTTTAAAGGAGGACTAGTAGGATGATACCCAAGATCAAAAGGCTTTCATTAAAAAAAAGTTAAGACCTTTGAAATAGTTTTCTCTTGACAACAGAATAGAGGGGATCTGGTTGAGGTATTTAAGATTGTTAAGGAAATTTATACTGCTAAAACAACATCTTTTTTTCATAAGTAATGATGCAAATAGTAGGATAAAAGGACACAAATATAAATTTTGGCAGGGTAGGAGTCATCTTCAGCTAAGATACTTATACTTTTTTTAACAGGATGGTTGACCTTTGGAATGAGTTGCCTTTAAATTTAGTGAATGCAGGACGTTTAAGGGAAGGCTTGATAAATATTTAAATGATAAGGCTGGATCTGAAGATGCTTTTATTGTTATTTATTCTTTAAAGTTTAGTTTAATGGATGGGTTAGCCTCAATGAACCAACAAACCCCTTGTTATGGAGTATTGCAATAATTTGTAAGGTCTTGGGAGAGCTAAAATGTAGATAAAATGACGTGTTTAATGACTACATGTATATTGAAAACCTTGTTGGAAGATATCACAATTAAATTAGACTGTTAAGTACTTTGATAAGAAGTATCTTGTATCCAAGAATATAGCTTTTTGTGAAACAGTGGAGAAATGGAAAGACATTTTAATGTTGTGAGCAATAACGGTGTAAACATACTTACTCCTTTTTTTACACTTTTGAGTACCATATCTAAAGAAGTATAACATAACTGCAATACAATGTGACAAATCAGATTGTGCAGAACCACATAATATTACAGTTGATATTAATTGTTATTGCACAGTAACTTTAATGGTTAACTACAGAAAACTGTCATGTGATGTGTTGGTTGATATTGTTCACATACAATCATGTTGATGTTAATGAGGACAATATCATTCATCCACAATCACATAATTCTACACAAAGTACTAATGGTAAAGTTGGGGTAAAGGATCTCACTCATACTCATGGTTAGTAGCTATTATATTAATAGTGTAATTACAAATTATAAATCAATTTCATATATTTTACATAACTGAATAATAATTCATAAATACTTTTCTCCTGTGTTTCAGTTATTAATCTGCTGCCTTCATCAGAAAAGTCCTAAGGAGGACTACTTCTGTATTGATAGTAACCAAGATTTTGCTCAAGGTCCTCCTGAATAAAGTCCAGTGGATTTTTCATCTAGCTTAGGTCTTCCACCACCCCCAGTTTGGAACAAACTACAGTGTAGCCCCGTTATAACGCGATCGTTGAGGTGCATAAAATGTCATCGCGAAACAAGCAGGGTTGCGCTAAATTGGGGTTTTGTAAAGATACACTTAAAATATTAAAAGTTGTTAGTATGTAAACTATAACGAGGTTATGGTTATGAGGTCGGTCCCAGGGACTGAGCCTGTGTTGAAGACTTAATGACCCATTGCGTTATATCCGAATTTGCATTAAATCGAGGCGCGTAAAATTGGGGTTTCACTGTACTTAAATATTTTAATAAGAGAATCTAGATTTTTGCCAACTTCCATGCAAGGTTGACTAAGTGTGTTATGAGTTAGGTGGATAGAGGGATTATTTTATCATTTTCTTTACTTATATGTTGTTCATATTATTTTAGTATTACTCTGTTTCATTGTATGGTGTCTTTCCCAAGCACAATGAGCTACTGCACACAGGTCAGCATTACTGAATCATTGTATGCCAACAGTGAGGAAAGTACTTTCAGCTTCTTGGCACCATAAAGTCGGGTAATAACTTATAATAACATACTTCAGTCTCCAATAAAAGGTTAGTGTTATAATCTAGTTTATCAAAGCATATCTAGCTTTAATTCTTGCTAATAACAGTTATTAAGAGAGCAACTTTGAATAACTTCCCTTGAAAGAAATAATGATGGTAGTCAGTCAGTACAGGCCAACATTTGTAAAGTGCAACTAATACCGATGTCAGACAAGTACTGTTTGTTCAGCATATAGGGCTCAAAATTAGTGAGGGCCCGGGAGCTAATGGTCCCCAAAATGCCGGTGGGCCCGTAAAAAGTGTCTGCTAGGTAGCCCACATGGCCCCTTAAAATCAAAAGCACCATTAAAAGTTAGTCTCCACATAAATTGATCTACGCATTTTTTAACCGCAGAACTTATGACAAACCATGAATGGACCTTCCGAAATTTACGAACACTCATCAGTCATGTCTAATCTATATACGTCGTCACTATGAATGTTCGTGTATTCAAAGTAAATACACTTTCATTAATAAGAATGCCATCACTTTGGCCAATATTTAAACTTTTTGTATCAGTATAATGGAATTGATATATCAAATTTCATTTATAAAATTTGAAATATAGTGATTATTTGAACTTTTATAAAGATGACTACTGTTTGGAATCAGAATGCTACTTTTTTAACTTGTTATATACGACACCGGCCTGCATCAAGGTTCACACATTTGAAAGATATACATGCGAGTTCTTTTATATCAACACTTTCCATAAACAAGCAAGTAAAAATTGCAAGCTGATAAGATGTTTGGATAATTTACCTTACTGCATGTACATTGTTTGTAAACATTAGGTCAAACACTTTTGAATCCAACTTTGCAGACTGTATTAGCCAAAAATAAAATAAAAAATTACTGTTTTAACGATCATGTCACAATCAGCCCGATTCCGATTATGTACAATAAAGTTGATAATGTCATTGTGTATTATTGTTGGCAGTTTAACCATAAAAAGTATAATAACTACAGATAATGTTCTTTAAAGCTTCGTTAATTTGAAATGGTTTATGTTAGCAATAAATGTAAAATGCAAAAAATAAATAATAATAATAATAATATAAAATCATGATCTCTTTTCCGTTTTTTTTAACGAGTGAAAAATAAAAATTGGGACCGACCTTGTGGCTAATACATAATCGATACATAAATTTATGTGACCGTTCCGTGAACAAATTGTTGAGGTTCATTGCCTAAATTCATCATTCATTTCAACCATAAGCTTGAAGACTTTTACTAACAATGCTCTACACAAATAAAATGACAGCATTTGAAAGTTTTCATTCGTACAGAGAGAAATCTTCAAGTCGGTTGCCGAATATTTTTTTTTAATTGGCCTTATTTAAAAATGCGCCTGATTGTATCTTTATTGTGTACCTAATGATCAACTTTTCAATCTTAAAAAAATAAATGACAACTTTTAATACACTGCCAAATTTCACGAATATACATAAATCGTATCGTATCGCCGCACCTTTAATAAAGACTTGTACATTTCCCTGTTAGTTACAGGTGCAGCGACGCCGCACCTTTAATAAAGACCTATACATTTCCCTGTTAGTTACAGGTGCAGCGACGCCGCACCTTTAATAAAGACTTGTACATTTCCCTGTTAGTTACAGGTGCAGCGACGCCGCACCTTTAATAAAGACTTGTACATTTCCCTGTTAGTTACAGGTGCAGCGACGCCGCACCTTTAATAAAGACTTGTACATTTCCCTGTTAGTTACAGATGCAGCGGACAGTCGGTTACGACAATTGTCCACCTTCATGATTCTTGTTTTTACAAACGAAATACTGGTAGGTATTTATTTCGGTTTGAAGTATTCTGAGGTTTTCCTCGGAAGACAACCGGGGGTGCTCGGAAACAGCTTTTCCCCTTCGCCTCTTCTTGTTTTTCAACCATTTGCTTCGTACTCGAAA